TATTGAGGGACGGGAAAATCACATTGGCATCCGCTTTTAAAATGCTAAGGGGGACACCATCAGGTCCTGGACTATGAGATTGGCGAAAACACCGAGTCGCCACAGTCACGTCCCACAGAGTGAAAGTTGTAGTTTCGAGAACGGCGCGGGTCGAAGTCTGGATGGCCGGAATCGGAGTGATCGAGTTTTTAATAAACGTTTTGGACGGGAAAGCATTGAAAATGTCAGCGGTCAACTGGGCATCTGCTAAAGGATTCACACAAGCGTCTCGCAGGATGGGATGCTTCGTTCTTCCATGAGTTCGTACCTTTCGGGAGAAAAGTTTCGAAACATTTAACGAGCGGGTTTTGATGAATCAGACCTCATCGACTAGCTGTTTTTCTTTGGACATTCTCTTAGCCCGCTCAAAAATATCGCAAATCGAGGGCAGGAGAGAAAGGCTGTGCTCAAGATGGAATAGACGGAAAAGTTCGTGCAAACTACGGCGAAATGTTAAGGATAGGAAACCTCATCAACTACATTAATTTTTTACTTAAGGGAGACAAAATGGGAAAAGAGCGGATCGAAAATTTCGTGCAGTTTGGTTGTGCAAAGTATCAGTTTGTTGTGGGAGACTTCAATCTTCCTGATGTCCGCTTGTCCCCATCTTCCAACCCGAAATATTCAAAAACATACTTGAGACTGTAGATGTTGACATGTGGAGTCAATTTGTCAATGTTCCTACCCGAGGATCAAGCATACTCGACCATATTTTCTGCAGAGCATAGGAATATATCAGTCCAATCGTAGGAATTAAGGTTAGTTAATAATACGGCCGAGCGAGCTGGTCAGAAATCGAAGGAGAAGTTATAATGTGAGGACAAAATTTTGTTTACCTTGAGTTCTAATATAGAAACAACTATGTAGTGGTCGTTTTCCCTGATTGGGCACAGGCAAGACGCTGACATAGGCATGCAACTTCTGCAGAAAAGTAGGTCAAGTGTGCTTGATCCTCGGGTGGGAAAATTGACAACCCGGCTCTGCGACATGCAAACATATACAGCCTCAATTATGTTTTCGAATTTTTGAGGCTGGAAGGCGGGAATCAGCGGACTTCAGGAAGATTGGAGTCGCCTGCAGCCACTTGATACTCAAAACTTCATTCGACCGCAGCATGAAATGCCTGTGAGAGACAACGATCAAAATTCTTATAGGTGTTCGGAGGAAGATAGACACAGCCAACCAGTAGAGAAAACGTATTTTTCAGAGCAACTTGGAGCCAGCAGCTGTCTCTTACGGGAGGTCCAGTGATTGAATCGCAAGTGCTTGCTAGACGAAGATACAACTGTCTCCACAACGGTTGCCCTAACGATCATTTCGCATGTAAGCATATCCTAGAAGAGAGGGTTTGGAGGCAGCTACGGTAGCTGTTGCCAATGTATCAGTTACTAAGACAGTATCTGGGAAATTGATGAACATCAGGGTTTGAAGGAAAGACATCTTATTAAGCAAGGATCTGACCTTTAAAACGAAATGCTTATGGAGAAAGACCTTTAGATTCTAAGAGAGGTTGACGACGTCGTTCAGTGCTTGGCTATCCACGGAACATACGGTTCGGATGCACCTGTGCAATTCTGCAGTGGCTGACGATTGTGGGGAAATTTTTTAAGGGAACTGGACTTACCCAGCATTCGAGTGACTGAGACGGCACTCGGAATCGCCTTTGGATTAGGCACTCGCTTAGGTGTACTAGCGGTAGCCGGCCGAGTCAGTCGGAGTGTTTGTAAACAAGGCGTGTTGTTGTGTTCAAAGACCTCGGCATCGACAGTAGTCGAATTCTCTACGGAATTAACAAAGCCATGACATGGGAAGGAGGCAGATGACGTTGAAGAAGACTTATTTGAGATGACAACAGGTGCTGTTATATCCATGTTTGTTTTTGATATTTTCAATTTGTTTAGTATTTTCTGCAGTGGTGTGAGGTCCGGCAAAACTGAGCAATGCCATTTTCGGCAGAAATCTCTACTTACCTCCTTCCTCGGCAAGATGGAGTCCACTTCTATTAAGTCCGTGAATTGGGACTGATTTCTCTATGGAGATCCGGAGGACGATTGTAGATCGTAAGAGACATTTCACTTAGTTTAATTCGATACCGGTATTCAAATCAGCAAAAAAAACTGCCTGGTTAACTGGGGACCCGAGTAGACAGTTACGGAAGAAAAATAAAATATGGAGATATTCAGGGAAAAAGAGTCACCAGTGCAAATCGAAGAGTCTCGTAGGCAACGAAATGCAGTCAAAAATGCATTCGTCAGGCACGGAAGGAGTATGGATCCAGAATCATCTGACAGGATGAACAGAACCTCAAGATTTTATTTTACTCTCTTAAGAGCAGACGAAAAATAAAGGACCCAGTCGCAGTATAAAGGACGATAATGGTGTAGAAATTGTTGGAAACAACGAGAAAGCCGAACATTTGGGACGGTACATTGCCTCGGTCCTCACTAGGGAAACGAAGTTTCGTAGTCGTAGTGTCAGCAATGCACTTGAGACCACTGGTCCCGTGCTTAACTAGAAGCTCTTCCCGATATCTGTCGTGGACAGGGAACTTCAAAATCTCGAAGAAGCAAAGTCCTCGGGTGTGGACATAGTACTGGCCAAATTCTTGGACGAATTCTTGAACGAATCGGCGACCAACCTCCTTAAATCACTAGCACACTTCTTCCCTTCGTCATTCTTATTAGGAAGGCCCCCATCGAATGGGAGACAGAAAAAGTCTCCCCGATATACGAGGGTGAGTGTTTGCAATAATGCCAATAATTATCGGCCTGTGAGTCCCACATTCATCTGCTGTAAAATAAAAGACGCCATAGTTAATAAAGAAACAATGAAGTTCCTGGAGCAGAGCTACTCGCTATCAGCGCTGCAGCACGGCTTTAGACAAGAACTGCTCGCGCCTTTCCTCTTTACTGCTCTTAACTGAGCAGAAGACTCGCGCAGTGGACGAGGATGGTAGGGTCGGTAGAAGGCGATCGACAGAGTCCCACACAAACGTCTAATCTACAAACTGTCTGAAATTAGATTCAGAGGAAAGCTTCTGACATGGATAGCAGATTTTCTTAATGGGAGATCACAAACCGTGTGTGTTCAGGCCTCGGAGTTATCTCCTACCCCTGTTCTAAGTGGTGTTCCCCAGGGCTGTTTTAGGGCCCCTTGAGGGGAAAATAGCCAACACATACGCCTCAGCAATGTGAGAAGCTCGTTGATCTCATCCAGCTTGTTGCTAGTGAGACCGAGGACAGGCACAAGCGAAGTTTTCATTTATTTTGAAAAAAATTCCTAGAATACCCAGCCCACGGATGTCGCCATCCATTTCTCTTACTCTTGTGGCTCCAACTTTAATGTCATTGAATCTAAAAGTCTTTCATCTGGGAGCAAAAATCCATCAATTCTTGTCAAATTATTTTCGTCGATAGAAGTAGACCTTATTTTCTCCCATCTAGACCGTTCAACTTAATATTCAGAGTGAATAAGCATTTTATTAATTTGGATAGAATTCCACCGCAACATAGAGTTTCCCCCTCAGTGGCAAACGTACAGCCACACCATAATTCTACTCATCTGTCATTTGTCTCTGAAGCCGATTCCCCATCGGGCGTCAACCAAATGTTCCCCATATCTGCGCCGGCCCTAGTTCCATTTAGCTCTTCACCTGAGCACATTATCACTGAGTCAGTTTATACCTGTCACTTTAAAAAATCTCCAACAAACGATGATTGCTCAAATGCTGCTCCCAATTTTACCCAGAAGCACAATCCACCTGAAGGACTCGGAATAATGGTGGAAATTCTTCTGTTGCAACTTGGACGAATTGAACACGAGAAGTATGTAAAATTCGTCTTACCGAAAAAAAGCGACCAAACTCGAATTCACGGAGACGGTGAGAATCCAGAAAATCTTGTTTGTCTATTGAAAGTCATTGTTTGACAGACGTTTTGAATGTGTTCAAGTAGAGAAGAGGGTAGATAAAGATTATTTTGATTTGGTAGGCAGACTAAGTGACATATGCCAACAAGCTGATCTAGAACAAGCAACGGCAAACCAGGTTAAGGCCCCTCTTACTCCACCGGAGGACGCGGTCATACGCAGATGACTACTGTCTAAGATGAATAAAGATGCTGTTTTGACCGTGCAGAAGTAAGTAGATTAATGTTTTAAACTCAGGAACATTAAACAGGATACAAAGTTGATTGGCAAAACAAACAGTCAACAGGTACAGGTGTTTAAGATCAGGATAAATCGGCCGCCACAGAGGGAAACATTTCCTGGAGGGCTTAAGGCCGCCTGTTGGTAGTGCGGTGGATGGCACTAGGCCGCCGACTGCCCCTATAAAATGCAGAAATGTTTCAAATGTTCGGGTATGCGCCATAAATCGGCATGCTGCATAGCGGTAGGGCCGAGTCTTAGGAAACAGTGCAACGACGTTTCTGATAGTAAGACACGGGGGGGGGCTAGGCTGTGAACACCGAAATTACCTATCTGTGATCACAACTGTAAAAGCCGACAAGCCTCAAGTGGTCACGGCGTCTGATATGACGATTATGAGGGTAGGAACGTGGCAGATGATAGGAACACCTAGTCATACCCCAACTCATATAATTGAATGTTGAGCTCGAGGGCGAAAGCCGCATTCCCTTAATAAACTGACTTATCTCTTGTCGGCACCGAGGCGCATGGCATTTGCAGGCGATTGCCCCTTCCGTCAGCATCGCTGTCAAAGCTGTAGCCAACGACGACCCCGAGATGAATTCTGAAAAGTAATTGCAACATATAGAAATAAGCCCACTTACACCAGTTCTAATACCAAGCGCCGCTTTTTGGCTAAAACGTAAGTCGTAACCATAGTTTGTTGGAAATTCTCTCAGTCTCTTGCCTAATACCCAGGTCAGCGGGCCAGTTGTAGAAAGGTTGTTAATGTTCTGCCCGATGGCCAGGCAGTCCGATTAAATTTGGGCACTGTCTCAGACATCATCATCATGATTATCGTCGTCATCGTCATCATTGCCACCGCCGCCGCCGCCGCCGCCGCCGCCGCCGCCACCACCACCACCACCACCACCACCATCATCACCACCACCACCACCACCATCGTCATCATCTCTGAGAGACTCTGCAAGTGCCTTGGAAACCACACGACGCAGCAGACTTTCCAGTCCGCCACAAGCGCGTGCGGTGATCTCGCCCATCTAATGCTTTATCTCCTCCCGCGGTACCAGCCTCACTGAGATCTGCTACGTCACCAAGTCTGATCCGAACCTACTTTGTCTCGATTGGATTGAACAACTTGGTTTGGCCGATATGTCACTCCGTTGCACATACATTGCAGGCGTGCTGCATTTGTCACCGGGAAACAAACCAGTCTTTCACCCAAATCCACCGGCCCCATATACAGCCTTACGATCTCTCGAGGCTGCACTGAAGTATCTGGTGAAAGTGGAAGTTCTACTTCCTGTATATAATTCCGCCAGGACTGTCAAAATTGTTGTGGTTAAGAAGCCCTAATGGTGCGATCCGCATTTGTGCTAACTTCTCCATCGATCTTAATGCCGCGTTGACGCCGAACCGCTATTCACCGCCGGTTCCGCCTGATCTTTGAGGCCTGCAGAATGGCGATACTTGCTTTGCCCAATTGGATCTCGCGGATGCGTATTTGCAGATCGAAGTCGTCCCAGATTCGTACGAATTATTGACCATCAACACCCACCGCGGTCTGTTCCAATACACCAGACTGCGCTTTGGTGTCAAGGCTGCTCCAACTCTATCCCAACAAACCATCAACGCAATGCTCTCCGGCATCCCGGCACAGCTGGGCACCTAGACAAAATCGTCGTCATCGTTAGTCACTCCCCTGCTGAGCTGCAAGACCTAGTGTGCGTGCAGTATTCGGCCAACAAGAACCAGTCCTTCCTTGGTTCCATCAGGTACCTCGAATTCGTCTTTTACGTCACTGGTCGCAATCCAGATCCTGAACATATAACTGCTGCACAACAGATACCTGCACCCAAGAATTTATCGCAACTTACTTCATACCTTCGTCTGGTCAGCTAAGAAAGCGCCTTTCTGGCATCACTGCGTGACCTTCCATCCCCACTCTCAACAGTCTGCTGCAAAAGGATGCTCCCTTGTGCTGGTCTTCCGACTGCGAAATTGCGTTCGTCCAGCTAAAGTCGATGCTGAGTACAGATCTGCTGCTCATGCACTAGCACACGACGCTGCCGACCGTTGTTGCAGATGCAGATGCTTCGAACCACGGAGTTGGTGCCGTCATCTCACATACTTTTCCTGACGGGTCTCAAAAGGTGCTCATACATGCATCTCGCACACTAACTCATCTGGAGAAGAACTGGAGTCAAACAGAAGAGGAAGTACTAACCCTTGTGTTTTCCGTCAATAGACTTCCACAAGTTGCTGAACGGTCCTCCCTTCATGCTGTTGACAGATCATAAACCAGTGCTGTCAGTTCTCGGCACGAAGAAGGGCATTCCTGGCTATTCAGACAGCCGACTTTAGCCATGTGCAACCATTCTTCTTAGTTACCATTTCGAAATTCGATACTGCTTCACTGCCGACTTTGGTTAGGCGAACGTCCTTTCTCGTCTCATCTGAAATCACTGCGCGGACATCCGAAGTACTGCTGAACAGGATCCTGTCCCCCTTCAGGCCATCCCCTGCGTGCAGACCTGCCGGTCAAGCATTGCCATCGCTGGTGATCTTTGTCAACTGTTTCTTCGCCGAGCATCGTTGTCAGAGGTTGATACTTCTTCATGATTGCGGGTCGTGTAGTGAATCCATCTTTCCATCGGCCTTCGCTATTACGCCAGTTTTACGCGGCACATCCTGACACAAGCCTGTCACCGGGAAACAAACCAGTCTTTCATCCAAATCCACCGGTCCCATATACAGACTTACCATCTCTCGAGGCTGCTCCTTTCTGTATATTATTCCGCCTGGGCTGTTAAAAAATGTCGTGATTCAGAAGCCCAATGGTTCGATCCGAATTTGTGTTGACTTCTCCATCGATCCTAATGCCGCGTTGACGCCGAAAAGCTATCCATCGCCGGTTCCGCCTGATCTTTTCGGCCTGCTGAATGGTGGCACTTGCTTTGCCTAGTTGTATCTCGCGAATGCGTATTTGCAGATTGAGATCGCCTCAGTTTCGGACGAATTATTGACCATCAACACCCACCGCGGTCTGTTCCAATACACCAGACTGCACTTTGGTGTCAAGACTGCCCCAACTCTATTCCAACAAACCATGAACGCAATGCTCTCCGGCATCCCGGCACAGCTGGGCACGTAGACGACATCGTCGTCATCGTTAGTCGCTCCCCTGCTGAGCTGCAAGACCAAGTGTGCGTGCAGTATTCGGCCAACAATTGCCACTTCTTCCTTGGTTCCATCAAGTACCTCGAATTCGTTTTTGACGTCACTGGCCGCAATCCAGATGCTGAAAATATTCCTGCTGCACAACAGATACCTGTACCCAAGAATGTATCGCAACTTATTTCATACCTTTGCCTGATCAGCTAATAAAGCGGCTTTCTGGCATCACTGCGTGACTCTCGAGACCTCCCTCAACAGTCTGCCTCAAAAGGATGCTCCTTGGTGCTGGTCATCGGATTGCGGAAATGCCTTCGTCCAGCTAAAGTCGATGCTGAGTACAGATCTGCTGCTCATGCACTAGCACAGGACGCTGCCGACCGCTGTTGCTGATGCAGATGCTTCCAACCACGGAGTTGGTGCCGTCATCTGACATTCTTTTTCTGACGGGTCTTAAAAGGTGCTCATGCATGCATCTCGCACAGTAACTCATTCGGAGAAGAACTGGAGGCAAACAGAAGAGGAAGCACTAACCCTTGTGTTTGCCATCAATAGACTTCCACAAGCTGCTGAACGTTCCTCCCTTCATGCTGTTGACAGATCATAAACCGTTGCTGTCAGTTCTCGGTACGAAGAAGGGCATTCCTGTCTGCTCAGACAGCCGACTTTTGCCGTGTGCAACCATTCATCTTGTTTACCATTTCGACATTCGATACTGCTTCACTGCCGACTTTGGTCAGGCGGACGCCCTTTCTCGTATCATCTGAAATCACTGCCGCGGACAACCGACATACTTCTGAACAGGATCCTGTCCTCCACCAGGCCATCACCTGAGTGCAGACCTGTTCGTCAAGCATTGCTATCACTGGAGATGTTTACCAACTGTACCTGCGGCGAGCATCGCTGTCAGAGGTTGATACCTGCTTCATGATTTCGGGCCGTGTGGTGAATACATCTCCCCTTTGACCTTATCTACTACGCCAACTTCATGCAGCACATCTTGACACCAGCCGGATGAAGTCAATTGTCCCCGGTTTGTCGTGCTGGCAGGCTGGCGACAGCAACATCGACGATCTGGTTCGTCAATTTTCCCAAAGCCAACAAACTACCAATTTTCCACTTCGTCAATCAATAATGAGCTGTCACCTGCTGGAGAAGCCTTGGTCACGCGTGCATATCGATTTTGCTGACGCACTTAACGGAGTCTCCTACCTATGGTTAGCTTCCACTCGAAGCGACCATAAATTGCTCCGCCGAATCCAGCGACCGCGTCTGCCCCTATCGCGTTCCTACGACACAACTGTTTTCCTGCAGGACAGCGCCGAACCCGGCGTCGCCTGGAGACCTTTCTCCTGCCTCGAACCTGGTTGGTTCGTGCATACGAGAAACCGATCAGCTCGCCTGGAATTTTCTTCTCGATGTGCATTTGACGGAGTGCAGGCGACCCCCTGCAAGATGTTATAAATACGAGTTAGTTCCCCAGGTATAACGACTTGCAGATCTCTGATACAGTGTTTCCTGTACGGTCGTGTTCTCCTTCCCTGCCGCATGGGTATTGGGGATAACAGTCGAGTACGCGTACGCTTAGAGTGTTTTCTGAGTACCAGGCCGGGCCATGGCAATCAGGCAATAATCTCCCTGAACTATTAGCTGGCTCATTTTGTTGCACCATTTGCTCAGAGATGGATTCGACCCAGGTTTCTACACTATGCCATTATTCTGTGCCATGGAGGTCGGTTGTGACTATACGGATAGTCCATTTTACTGCTGCGATTAAGCGCCTGGGAAATTCGGGAGTATTAACTACGCTTCTTGGAGGTGTTTCAAAGAGGCAGGTCTCAAACGGATCGGGACAGTGCGCTCAAGTGAAGAGTTAGGTAGAACTAAGGCCGCCGCAGATAGGCGGAAATGTTGGCGGACACCAGATGAAGAACCTACTGATGGCATAGACATGGACGTTGAAGTACTGTGAAATTTATGATTTCGATATTTAGTGGCGAACAGAGCTGTGCCGTCGATTCACAGTAAGATGAGGTATTTCGCGCCTTAACCACGTGACCATGCAAGGCGACAAGAGCTGCGATGCATATGACTGCTGTTTTGTTCCGGACAGTTAGCGTGTACGAGGAGGCATCGGTTATAAAATCGAGCTGAATGCCGCTGAAGACATGGTATGGCGTATTTAGTCATATTACTTGAATACCTGATTAGCCAGTTTAAAGCAGCTCCCGCGACGAAGACGCACGGGAAGTGGCTGTGTGAATTTAAAACCCGATACCCACATCAAAGGCAACAATGATGATGGACCCATTATCAGTAGACGGAAAGGCGAATTCTAACCTACAGTAAACGCGTCAGTCCGTTAAAGAAAACCCTTATCAATGCTGAACGGGTTTCTTAGTGTAAATCTTTGATTTATGTCAAATTCCGACCAAGAACTCGTAACATTATGGAGTAAATTGGACCACCATTCAAAGATTAAATTAGTCAGTGTGTTTGACGAAATAGGATTACACGTTTTGACATCATATTCGTCATATAAATGCGAAAGAATTAGTGACAACGTTAAAACAAATTAAAGCGTCGAGTGAATGTCGACTAAGGTTCGCATAGTACATCGGTTTTTGTGGTCACATAGTCACATTGTCCGCTTGTTGCTGCGACAAGTATCTGTCAGTCCTTGTTCAGGCAAACCCACGGCTCCATGACACGAATCTCACAAGACAGTGCGTCTTGAGACCTTACTTATTGTGCGGATCGTCTCCGCACCATTTCGAGGATAGTATAATGCTGCTGCGTCCAAGGTCTCCAGGCCTGGATCGCATGCTGAAGATGCGAGGCGCAGCATGGTGCATTTGTCCGAGTT